AGGTGTTTCCAGGAGGACAGGGTGACCATCTGTGTCCAAAGCTGTCTATAGATCAGGTGAGATGAGCTCTGAGAATCAACCACAGGGTTCAACGTGACCTTGACAGGAGTGGTCTGGGGTCAAAAGTGATTGCAGAGGGTTCAGGAGAGAATGCAGGGTTGGGGGGAGGGCGGTAGAGTAGCAAACAGACTCTGAGGAGTTTTGTCTGAGGTGGGCTACTGCCAGAGCCTCTCCAGCTGTGCACAGGGGAGGGCTTTTGTAGGGGGCGATACCTGAGGGGAGCACTGACCATCCAGCAGGTGATAGCTCGCTGACGTCCGTTGGGTAGCCAGAGGGGCCCAATTCAGTTGTAGGGGAGCAGTAAGTCCTAGATAAGAGCAGGTGGCTCACCATAGATCAGAATGGGAAGGAGGTCAAGGGGCATGGGTAGGGGCGGGTGGAAGCAGGTAGGCAGATTTGGTAGTAGGAGCACAAGATGTTTCCATTTGACCCAGACACAGGGTATTATGCCCACTTTAGAGGTGAGGAAGCTGAGGAACAGAGCTCGGCCTGAGACTTGGCTTCTGCTGCCCTAGACCTCAGTAGTGGGAGGAGGAGAGACACTGGGAAGGAAGGGATGGAAGGGACCATCACAGTGGTCTAGTTGGGCTGTGTCCTGGAGGCCAAGGGCAAATGGAGCTGCCTGGGCTTTGAGGCTGGGTCTCAGCCACTCACTAGCTGCAGTTAAACAGGTCAGTCTCAGCTCCCTCCCCTGTAAGGGGGTGTTAACTGTATCTACTTCCTCAGGTCACAGTGTGGAAAAAGGGAGCAGCACTGAGCTGGCTTCTAGTGAGTCCTGGACAAATGGAAGTGCCTTAAATGCAGACGTCAGCAGAGCCTTGGAAGAGGAGGACTTCAGTGATGCCAAAGACAGAGCACTCTGGGATGCGGTGGGTGGTGTGCGGTGGGCGGAGGAGCCCTGTGCAAGTGTGGAGGGCCAGGGCTCACTCCCTGTGGGCCTGCGTGTGGTCCAGTCACCAAGGCCTGTGTGGTTCCGCTCAAACCCGCCAAGTGGGCCTCCCCCACCACAGTGTCCTGGTGGGGCAGGAGGGGCAGGAAGGAATGGAGTCCCAAGAGAGAGCCCAAGGGAACCCTGCTGGGGGAGGGGCAGAACCGGAGGACTCCAGGGGGAGCCGAGCTCAAAGCTGGCTAGGGGTGAGTCTTCTCCCCTGTGTGAAGACCCTGAAGCAGATAGCTGGGCCTGTCCTCAAGATGTAGCTGCCTGCCACGGGAGTCACCACCAGGTCTGGATTCTCTGGGCCAGTGGCTGAGCATCGAGGAAGGGTGTGCGGGGCTGCTCCCTGGACAGGAAAGGGCCTTCTCTTCTTCCTGAGAACAAGCTCGAGTCCCAGCTTCTGTGAAGCTCAGGCCCACCCGTGCAGCGGCAGCATGGATATGCCCAGGTAGGATGCTCTCAAAGCCGTGGCCCCCAGCACTCGCCCCTCCGGGCTGCCGTGTGACCCCAGGCTCTCATCTATGGCCACCGGTCCCACATTCTGGTCTCTTTCCTGGACCAGCCTGCAGAGCGGGTGGCCTCTGTTTACAAGCCTGGGTTGGAAGTCTGGGAGGGCACGGGGCCCACTTTTTCTGGCAGGACCCTTGCCTCCTTACTCCTCAGGAAAAGCCTGGCACAAGGCATCCCATCCTGAGCCCTGCAGTGGCCCCGCAGGCAAAGCCGCCCATTCTGTAGACCCACGAGGTTGAGTGTACTACGACTTCCTCCACTCCTGGGTGACTGTGGCCTCAGGGGTGCCTCCAGGTAAGGCAGGTGAGTACCAGGCCAGGCTAGCTCAGGCACTTCTGGGAAGTGGTGCTGAACTCCCTTATTATGGAAGCAGGAGGGCACTGAGATGGGGGGCACCTTTGTGGAGCTACTCATTTGACAGGGCAGGGGACGGTTCCTCAGGCTAAGCCAGCTCGAATGGCTTCCAACCCCTGATTTCCCAGTAACAATTGCATCTGCTGAAAGCAGTCAGTGAACTGAAGGCTCACGCCTGTAAGTTCAAAGTGGCTTGTCCCCAGAGGTCTTATCTAAGATGACACCTTCTTGGGACTGGTGTTTTGTGACTCTTGGGGAGTCCCCAGTGGGTGCTGGGCGCACTGGTGCTGTGGACCAAGGACGGGGCTTAGTCTGTGTGGGCCCTCACCCCAGCAAGCATGGTGGCCTCATAAAGACCTGTGTCAAACTATCTGACTGCATAGTCACAGCAGGAGGCTAAAATGCACCAACGTCAAAGAGAATCCAGGGGCCCTGGAGGGAGCCGGTGCAGGTTCAAGCAGCCCCTTAACTGGGGCCCCTTGACTGCAATCCCGGCTCTTCCAGGGCCCCCCCTCCCCCGCCACAAACCCCAGGTAAGAACTAGGTTGTGACCTTAGGTGGGTGGACAGTGGGATTACAATGGGATTTCTGCTTCCCACCTGCTTCCTGGGGCTCTCAGCTCCCTTCTTCCCTCTCTTCCCTTCAGGCCCTGGCTCTGCCTCCCCGCGGATCCAGCCAGCTAGCCCTGGAGGGGTGCACCCACCTTCCCCTCCTGCCCTTCTGCTGGAGGAGAGCTGCAGTCTCCTTTGGATCTTTTTGCGGTCTGGGCTTGCTGTTCCTCTCTACAGTAGTCAGGAAGCCCTTACCCCAAAAAGTATCTGCGGGAGGCCTTGTCTACAGGGGGACTGCCTCCCCCGCAAGGGCTCCAGGTGGGTCACATACCACACTCCTAGACAAGGGACAGCAACAAGGAGAGCCATCAACCTAGCTTTCCCTTAGAGCTGCTGGTTGGCCTCAGGACAAACGCTGAGCTTCTCTGTGCCTCAGTGCTCTGCCACACATTTAATGATTTATCTGTGCGCAGTGTCTAGTGGGAGATTCCACAAGGTAAGGAAAAAGCAAGAGTGGCTCAATTAAAGGTGTGGACGCTGTGCTGGTGGCTTAGCGCCCAGCCTGCTGCCTCCTATTTGTAGACCATCTATCTCCCTCTGGGCTCCTTTTGGGGAATCACCTCTTCCATCCCGTGGGCCCTCCTGGTGGGATTGTCGCTCAAGGCACCTTGCCTTGTCCTATCCCCTTGGATATGAGACCCAAGACAGGCCTGGGAATTGGAATCCTGGATGGAGGGGTGCAAGACTGGGAACGAACTGATCTCAGCGGCCGTGCTAAGGAGAAGACTGAGCTTGGTCCTCCTGCGTCCCCTGAACTGCCCAGCGGCTGACCTTTCTTAGCCTGGACCTTCAAGTGCCCCCCCCTGAATCTGGTGAACCACTCCCAAACGCTTCCAATAAAATCCTCATTGTTTTAGTTAAGCAGTCAATACTGTTGCTTGCCTCAGGATACAGAGACCCCTAGGGGCGGGAGGTGGGATTGCCTACCCTGGAGAAGGGGAGGGGGCAGCTGGCCTGGGGCTTGTTACTGTCCTTAGGGGAGGCTCACATGGTGTCAGCCCCCAGGGGACAGGAGACAGAGCAAAAGGCAGGAACCACATACAAGGCCTGGGTTAGGGCCCAAGGAAACATTCCCAAAGGTGAGAACAACGTTGGGATGGACAGAGCAGGACCTACATAATGCGGAAAAGTTTAAAATAAAGGAACATAGGGTCTTCACGTTCTTTATCTGCGGGTTTCCTTATCTGGAATCCTTCTACTCAACCCTGGGGAGCTGCTGTGCCTGGGCAGCCCAAGGTGGGGGACACAGCCATTACCTTTTATAGGTCACAACATAGCCACAGCCTGTGAGAAACAAGGCAGCTGCAAAGTTCCTTCTTTATGCAGAAGCCACAAGAGGCAAGTCTAAGCCAACAGCAACACATGGCTGGTGTGTGGCCTGCACTGAGTTCAAATGTGCTGAAGGAGCCTAAGCGGGGCTGTGGGTTCGCTGTGGGGATTCAGGAAGGAGGGCTGGGTGCATGGGGACCTGCAGCAATTGTCTCAGTGAGATCAACTGAGACCCCACCTAGATGCAGCCAGGTATCAGTGGGAGAAGGCAGGATGGTGACAATGGCTGCGGGGCTGACCAGTGCCTGTGACTGTGAAACTCCCTCCCCTGGGGCTACCTTGACCTTCCATTCCCCCCCCCCAGCTGCGGGCTGGGCCTGGCTTGGCCACCTGCTCCACAACGTGCCTGTGGGGGATGTGTGTGCAGCTCAAGGGTGCCATCGTGTGGTCATAGTGAGGTAGTGCGCCCCACAGCCTCCAAAGTGTTCCATTTACAGGTCACTCCTCCAGCGCCGTCTGACCCTGGGCTGGACTCGGCTCTAGGAGGGCAAGGTCTATTTTCCCACAGACCCAGAGTTTCTTTCTGAGGGATGTAGAGCCTGAGAGGGATGGTGGAGAGAAGAGAGAGAGATGGAGGGGGAGAGGGAGGGGATGTGGGAAGGAAAGGCTTCAGGAGGGAAGGAGACCCTCACTGAAGGTGTCTGTACCCCAGGTCCCTCTCCTAGATCTAGGCCACCTTTCCAAGCTACTTTCTAGCTCTTCACTTGAGGCCCTCAGCCCCAACTGAAATTCTTGCCGTCCATTCTCCCTCTCCGCCCTCCCATCTCCCCCCCCCCCGCCCCCCACAGAACCTCTTCCCTGGAAAAGTAGTGAGGCCCAGGAAGAGGGTGTCATTCAAAAAAGGCTCCTGTTTAAATGTTAATGGTGTTAATGGAAAGAACCTGAACCTCAGAACCAATCAGATCTTGACTCAAATCCCAGGTTCTCCCTGTGTAACCTTGGGAAAGCCTTTTTACCTTCTCTACTTCTGGGTCCTCATCTGTAAAATGGGGACGTAATGCCCATCTTGCAGGGGTGTGAAGAGTAGCCCCAAGAGTGGTCACTGCCCTAGAAAGGCAGGCCCCCGACTGATTCTCGGAGCGTCAGCTCTGGGGAGACATTGTCTTGCTGCCTGTGCATTGTGATGTCTTTCTGTATTTGTGCGTATGTGTCCATCTGGCAATATGTTGTTTGACTGAAACCAGCCGGGGTTGCATGCCCCCTACCTGATGCACCCAAGCAGATGGGAGGTGTGGAAGGTGTGCTGAGAGCCTGAGGGTTGACGTGAGTCAATAAAGATGGGGTGGGGGGTGGGGTAGTAAGTCTGCTAAAGCTAGAGGGCAAAGGCTGAGCCTTTGGGAGAGGGAGGAAGGAGAGGGGGAAGTGGCATGGAAAGGGTAAAAGAAAGTCAAGAAAGGAACAGAAGAAAGGGGGAGAATGTGAGGCTACATGGGAAGTCCCTCTGGGTGGCTGATGTCCCCCAGCAGCACCCCGCAAGGCATCCTTCTGATCCACGCTGGGCCACACTGCTGGAGTGTCCTTGCAAAAGTCTACTTCCTTCTCTGGGCTGCTACTTCTGCACCTGTAAAATGAGACAAAGTGCTGGATTGTTCCTCTCAGCCATCTCCTCCCCTCCCAGGCCACCTCCCAGGCACCCAGGATAGGGGATCACCAGCCGTCCTCAAGGGTGGGAGCCATTGAGGGCACCGGATGGTGTGCCAGCCGAGGGTGGGAGCAGGCTGAGCATGAACACCAAGCAGGCTCTGGGAGGCAGGAGTCAGAGAAATTACCAGCAATGAAAACCTATAAGTTTCCCCAAAGTACCATTTGAATAGAAATGTCAAGTGCACCTGGAGTTATTATGCCCTGGAATCCTAATGACGTATCGTCCTATATACCAGTGTGATACTATCCCTCGTGTTATGGCACTGCTGCCATCCATTCATCCTGCCTTTCTCCACCTTGAACTTGCTCATCCTGCGGAGCCTACAGAGCCTCCTTTGCTCTTTCCAGAGGTGGCCTCGTGCCAGTGGGGCCTGTATAGTCACAGCGGGAGGACCACCGTGCTCCCCGAATGGAACTGTTGTGTCAGTAGTAGGGGCATGGACAGTTGTCACTCAGTGCTTTTCATTTTTGCCTAATCTGGAGTGTGACTTAAGTCCCCTGGAAGCTGCTGGGCCCGACCACCGGCCCCTCTCTTCTCCCCCACCCTCCCACTGTATCCTTTCCTTCTCCCATTCCTCCTTCCCCATCTCCTCTTCTTTCTCAAGGACACCCTCAGACATGATTCTTTCCTTCGAGAGCCCCTACGGGTGGGGGGTACTCATCCTGCCGCCTCTGCCCCTTAGCTGCAGGGTTTGGGGCTGGGAAGGCAGAGCAGACAGTCGCGCGAGCTGGGAGCAGCATGGTTAGTGGCTGGTGGGCAGGGGGCTTTCAGAAGAGGGGACAGAACATCCAGGCCAGAGCATCACCTCAGGATGGACCCTGGGCTTGTTGTACCTACAACATAGCCTGTGCCTGTCCCCCGATGTAAAGCCATATTTGCTCTTAGAGCAGGAAATCTGGACTCCTTTTAAGGAAGTGCGATTTGTAAAATCAAGGTTGCACAATTCATACAATCCAGGAATCCCTTCTCAAACCCCATACTCCTGTGCTCAGCCTTGAAGGACGGCAGGTCTGGAAGTGTGGTCCCTGTGCCAGCAGTGTCAGTGTTACCTGGGAGCTTATTAGAAATGCACATTCTCTGGGCACCTGCGTGGCTCAGTCAGTTGGGGGTCCGACTCTTTATTTCAGCTTGGGTCAGGATCTCATGGTTTGTGTTTGAGCCCCACATCAGGCTCTACGCTGGCAGCATGGAGCCTGCTTGGGATTCTCTGTCTCCTCTCTTTCTGTCCCTCCCCTGTTCTCTCTCTGTCTCTCAAAAATAAATAATTAAACATTAAAAAAAAAAAAAGAAAGAAAGAAACGTACATCCTCAGGTCCCAGTGCCAAGGGTGTGCAGGAGATGGTTTGTATCACCTTGGGAAAACCAGTTGTGTGCATTCCCTCCCCAGGACCACACTTAGTGACAGTCACATTGGGGGCTTGAAAACAGCCATTGTAGGAATATTTACACCATGGGAATAGGCAAACACTACAAATCTGCACTTATATTACTTCCTGGGAAGAGTTTCCAGCATACCACCGGGCCCCATCCAGAGCTACTGAATCAGAATCCCTGGAGGCAGGGCCCAGAAATCTGTATTTTAATAAGCTTTTCAGGTCATTCTGATGCACAAACTTGAGAACCATTGCTTCGTTGGTTAGCACTGGTGAGTTCATGAGAGAGATTGGAGGAATCTAGAGGCTGGGGATAAAAAAGGTTGGAGATGTTGGGGTAGCCAAGGAGTACGGTTTTGCAAGGGAAACTGGGGGAAGGTAAAGAAAGAAGAAAGTAAACCAGACACTGGGCCTTCCCTCCGGGCAGAAGGGCAGCCGGGCATTTGGCAGGAGGCTGTCCTGGATAGAGGTGAGCCCTCCAGCCCCCATGCTGGGAAGAGGTGCTGGGGAGGTTTGGGGGTACCCTACTTTGAATGCTCTGGTTTTTCCAGAACTCTGGAGGAGGGAGACAAACTAATCAATTACTCTGAGTCACGAGATGGGGAGGGCATGGAATAATTGGCTGGAAAACTGCCCCTCCGCATATCTCTGCAACTAAGAGAAAGACATTTACAAGCAATCTGCTGGAGCTACAAAGAAGGGAAATTCTGACAGAGAAAATGGAAAATCACAGTACCGTATCCATTACTGTTCATGTAAATGTGTGCAAAATGCCACGGGAAATTTCTTTCCTTTTTCCAATTTTGAAATATTGCAAACATATAGAAGAATGTAAGGAGTAATATCACAAAGGCCTTGCACCCACCACCAGAAATAGCAAATGTTAACTTATTGCCACATTCGTGTTGGGTTCTTTAAAAAGGAAAATAATACAACCTTATGAACACGGCAGAGTCTCCTTTGCCTCCCTTTCCTTTCCTCCAAAGATACAGGAGCTATCCTAAAATTGATGGATATTCTTATCATACATATGTTCATACTTTATCACATATGAATTACTCATACATTATACCTAGCAATGTTTTGAGTGCTTCTTAATTTCCATAAGTGGTGTCACACTGAACTTAACCATTCTGGAACTTGCTTTTTTATCACCTAACATGATATTTCTAAGGTCTGCTCATGTTGGTGTGGGAAATCCAGCTCATTCATTTTAGCTCATGAATAACAATAAACTGTACAAATAGACCACAATTCATCCATCAACCATGGGATGATGAAGTTATTTCTTTTATTTTTATTTTTTTAGTCCTCTCTATACCCAACGTAGGGCCCGAACTTATGACCCTGAGGTCAAGAGTCACACGCTCTTCCGACTGAGCCAGACAGGCGCCCCACTTTGAAGTTATTTCTAATTTTTCACTGTCACATGTGATTCTGCAGTGAATATCCTTGAACTTGTTTCTCTAGAGTATGTCCCTGGCAGTGGAGCTGCTCGCCCTTGGGAGAAGGCATTCCCGGTTATAGACACATTGCCAAATTGCTCACAAGCTTGGCTGAACTAGGTCACACTTCCACCAACGTGGATATGATACATCCTAACGCGTTCCTTATTCGGTGTGCTCCTTGGTTGTAGTCTTCCCTGAATGTAAAAGCAATTATGAAGATTTTCTCGAGTTCATTTCTGACTTTTCTCCTAACTTTACTTTCCCTTAAAGGCATAAGTTCTCCAGACACAAATTCTTCTACCACTAGGGTTTTCCAGAGTCTGAACCCAGTGGCCAAGAAGAGAAGACTGGTATGGGCGTCGTGTGTGTTCGGTCATGTGTGTGACTGTGTCTATGTCTGTGTGTGTAGCCTTGTACCAAAGCCAACAAGAAGACAGACTGAGAAGGGTCGGTCTTTCAGAGCGTCTTCTCAACAACGCATAAACCCAGGAGAAGGGAACCCAGTGTGGCCTGCAATCTATTCTCTTGCTCCAGGTCCTTACCTCCCGCTCTCTCCCTGGGTATGGGTTAAGGAAAGACTTGTCCCTGGATGTCAGCCGGCTGTTTTATCTTCCCCTACCCGCTCCAACCTCCAAATACTTCCTAAGCCATGTAAACAGGGAAAGAGGTGTGCTGTGCAGGGGAGGGACGGGTTCCCATGTGCTCCATCTGGGGGAAAGGGCTGACTTTTTGGCCCTAAGCCTAAGAGCTCTCTGCTCGTGCCAACGACTGCCTCCTGCATCGGTGCCTGTAAGGTTGGGAGAGGTGCCAAAATCCTAGTCTGGGCGGTGACAACGGACAGCCTAGATCATGACCACCGACCCCAACCCTCTGCCCAGGGCCGTGCAGAAATGGTCTGGGGTGCCTTCCCTCCTGGGTCTTGAAGCAGGGAGCCTTCAAAGCCCCTGAAATAAACTTGAGAAGAGGGGGATAGATTGGAGGGATCTCCACAAAATCACCTGTCTCAAACTAGAGATATTTCAAGAGGCAGGAACCCAAAGCGAATGAAAAGCTTCAGTTCAGAATGCCAAGGAAGTAATTCAAGGAGGGGGCTTTGATCCGAGGACTATTCTTGAATGGGACTCTTTTCCTCCCTTCACGCTTTAAGTGTGGCCAGCATGAGGTGTTTATTGGGGGAGGGGGGTGCTGTATTTATCCTTCTTCAAAAATATGAAGCCTGAATCCCTTGGCTTTCTTGTTCCACAGACTTTTTTGGCCCCAAACAGCCTGCCCTCGTGGGCAACAGGTAGCTTACTTCAGGCTGGAAGACAGCCTTATGGCAAGGAGGTCCCCAGGGAAGGCCTCACCTCTGAGTCCAGGTCCACTGGCCAATGAGGATGAGCGGAGGTGACGACACTACATCCTATTTCCCAGCCCAGCCTGAGAGGACGGGACCAGCTGAGGAAAAGAGCCAATGTCAGTGACGGATGCCATGACCGATGTTGGTAGAGAAGTGGCGTAAGGCAGATGAGTCAGCAGCAAGTTTAAGCAATGAACAATTGCACCATGGGGTGTTTCTCAAATTCTTGTCTACTTTTAGAAAGTATGCAATACCATTCAGCTGAGCATCTTGATTCTGAAATAGCTACAGAAAATGTTAAAAATGCTGTGGGTGAAGACGTGCCCGCGTGTACCTCTTTTCTAAAACAATAGTTAACAATTGTGCTGCGTGTCCCTCAGTAAATCTTCCAACCTGATTATTCCTTCATTTCCTCATCTGTAACATGAGAGGAATGTATGAAAAATGTCTCCGGAGATTCCCTCCAGCCTCACATTCTGTGATTTCATATTATGCTCACATTCTTTTTTTTTTTTAAGTTTTATTTATTTTTGAGAGAGAGAGAGCACGTGAGTGGTGGAGGGGCAGAGAGAGAGAGAGAGACACAGAATCTGAAGCAGGCTCCAGGCTCTGAGCTGTCAGCACAGAGCCCAGAGTAGGGCTCGAACCCACAGACCATAAGATCATGACCTGAGCCAAAGTCAGACACTTAACCGACAGAGCCACTCAGGTGACCCACTGCTCACATTCTTAATACTGGCTGGGTGTACACAATGCCAAGACCAAGAGTCAATTCAGTTAGTGAGGACAAAATGTCCTCTCCAATCAATTCTTTGGCACAGTGTAGATAAAACGAGTTAATTGACACAATTTTTCATTTCACAACTGGTAGCTCTGGCATCAGCTTGACCAGCAGTTCCTCCGCGGGGGTGTCCTGACATGCCACATCTGGAGCAGTTATCAGGTGTGTCATAGGCGATTTGTTGTTGCTAATGAACTACCGAGGTTTTGAAATGATTGATGAATTTTTTATCAATTAGGACAGATTCAATGTGTGCCAGTGATAATGCCTCTGTCACTCACTTGCATTCTGATATCCTACCCCATATGGAAGGAGAAGGGATGGACTTACAGCTTTCAGCCAGGGACTGCCTGGGGTCCTGAGCCAATCAGGGAGGCCCATGGGAGGCTGTGGTATGTTGCACATGTGAGTATCATCCATCACCTGCAATGAGCCATTTGAGAACGACTGATAGAAACCTCTGATACATAGTGTGGCAGCACGTCACTGGAGACCCAGGCCCCAGAACAATCCGATCCAGATGGGGACTGCCATCAGTATCCTATGATCCAGCTGCAAGCCAATGGAGAAAAAAAAGCATTGAACAGAGTACAAAATAAAAGTTCTGTTCATTATGTCCACCTCTTGATCCAAAAAGCACTATTTCACCATAATCTGTTGAGAGTTGGAGAAGGACACAGGGGTGTGGAATCATGTTGATTGAGCATGTAGGTGCCAAGTCCAGTGTCAGACACTCATGGCAGGTTTCAATGCTACCCGCCATGTACTTTCTGTTCTTGGCTGGCCAGTGTGATTTGCACTTCCTCCCCATTGTGGTTTGGAATATTCATGTGATATTTGGGCTAGTGACTTGTGAGTACAAGCAATGCGTGTCAATTCAATGCCACCAAATTTAGTTGCTAGCTTTAGACCCTCCAGAGCCTTCACTTCCTCTACCACAGGGGCTGGCGACAGGCCAGTGGCGGTTCCATCATCAGCCTGACTCCTGGGAGATATGGGGCAGAGCCCCCAACCAACTGTGGTGCATGTGAATGACACATCACAGGGGAGGATAACGTACAACTTGGTTGATACAAGCCATTAAGATTTTAGGGCTGCTTGTTACTATAGCACAACCTGATTTTATGCTGACAGATACAATGTTTTATATTACATAGTAACATAGTGGAAAAAATGTGAGCTTTGAGTTTAAAAGACTTGGCTCGAATCTTAACACTTACTGACCTTCAACAAGTCCATACCTTCTCCAGGTCTCAGCTTTTTCGTCTATAAAACAGTAGTAATGATTCCTATCTCATGATGCTATTAAGTTTGGAAATAGTATTTATAAAATACCTAGCACAGGGTTTGGCACATAGTAGATGTTCAGTTGTAAGTATTTTAATTTCATTAATTCATCAAAATAGGCCAATGGATAAATAGAGACTACAGAGTAGAAGAGAAAGGCTAATTCATTATTGATGTTTCAAATGCCATGATATGTCATGGAGGACGCTGGCCAGGGACCCAAGGGTAAGTGGATGTGTGAAGTTATCTGTGCTCACCCTCTGAGCTCAGAGAAGCTCTAGAAAGGAGAGGAGGCCCCAAGGATACCATTTCCAATTTAGCCTTCCTATTGCCAGAGGAAAGGCGGAGGTCACTTACAGAAGCGGTTCGTGCTACCTTCAGCATATAGGACAAGAGCACGGCAGTGGCACAGGCTAGAGTCGCTGTTAGTTTCACGGAAGCTTGTTATCCTATGAAGCAGTGCCAGCCGAGGTCCTTCCCAAAGGTCCAATGAGTTAAACTCTTCTCTCAGATCAGCTTATTAGTAGCATCGTGCCCACTTCAGCCGCTCACTCAGGACCCAGGAATAATCTGGAGAACAGAATACAGAGGAAGGGAAGGGAGGAGGGGAGGGAGGATAGGGGTCCTTTGCCTCCTCCTGCTCCTGATCAAGCCTGGCCTGATACTGTAGCAGGGGCAGAGCCAGGGGAGAGAGTGGCAAATTCTACCAATCAGAGCCTGCCTGCCTTCTTCCTTCTTTCCTTTCTTCCTTCCTTCCCCTTCCTTCTTTACTCCTTCCCTTCCTTCCTTCCTTCCTTCCTTCCTTCCTTCCTTCCTTCCTTCCTTCCTTCCTTTCCTCCCTCCCTCCCTCCATTCTTTCTTTCTTCCTTTTTTTTCCTCCCTCCCTCTCATCCTTTCTCTCTCCCTTTCTTTCTTTTCTTTTCTTTTTTTTTTTTATTTCTAGGAGAGAGAGAGAGACAGCGTGAGCAGGGAAGGGTCAGAGAGAGAGGGAGTCACAGACTGAAACAGGCTCCAGGCTCTGAGCTGGCAGTCAGCACAGAGCCCGACGCGGGCCCGAACCCAAGAACCGCGAGATCATGACCTAAGCGAAAGTCGGACGCTTAACCGACTAAGCCACCCAGGCGCCCCTCTCCCTTTCTTTCTTAAGCTAGTTTACCAAGGTATGCATGGCTTTTGGCAAAGCCATTTCTTTCATTGGAAAAGCTGTTCCAGGGATAGGATAAAAGAAATCAGGTTTGTATATGGGAAGAACATAGCCCTCTAAAACCTTAGACAGCTATGAGAACTAAAAAAAATAAAAATAATATTGATAAAAACTTAGACCAGAGAGGGGGCTGTGGTTTCAGCCCCTCCGTTGAGATGACAAAGTAAAAACTTCAGCTGAAGTCAAACTATTCCATGTAAATGTTGGCTCTTATAAAGCTGTGAGAGTTTGTACCAATCCTCAGTGGCGCAGCGGCGTTCACGGCTGTGGATTGCAGGGATCAATCTCCAGCTGCCTCGTCTTGCAGAGAAGACAGGACATCGGGGACTCGGCTGACAGCCCCCTGCAGTGGGGCTGCGGGAGGACTGACACAGAGCTTTGAATCATCTATGGTTAGGCTGCATTGTGTCCCCCCAAAATTCCCATATGGGGCACCTGGATGGCTCAGTGGGTTAAGTGTCCAACTTCAGCTCAGGTCATGATCTCACGGTTCATGACTTTGAGCTCCACATCGGGCTCTGTGCTGACAGCTCGGAGCCTGGAGCCTGCTTCGGATTCTGTGTCTCCCTCCCTCTCTGCCCCTCCCCCGTTTGTGTTCTGTCTCTCTCTCAAATATAAATAAACACTAAAAAAATTTTTTTTAATTCCCATACTGGAGCCCCAACCCCAGGTGCGACCGTATATGGAGATAAAGTCTTTAAGGAGGTAAAATTACATAAGGTCATAAGGGTGGGGCCCTAATCCAGTAGGAGGCGGGTGCTTATCAGAAGCGAAGGCGACACCTGGGATGTACACACACAGCAGAGGCCCCGTTAGGACACAGTGAGAAGGCGCCATCTGCACTTCTCACCAGACGTTTACCCTGCTGGCACCTTGGTCTTAGACTTCCAGCCTCCAGAACCGTGAGAATATAAATTTCTGTTATGTAAGCCCCCCAGTCTGTGTGTTCAGGCAGGTCTGGCCAGCAAACACAATCTACAGAAAATCGCTTGTTTTCTGGGTTTTGTCTGCTTATTGATCACTTTTGCAATGTAAGGCACCTTTCCACAATTCTTCAGACCCTCTTAACCCTGCCCGAGCCCGATGGTCCCAGGCACCCCGCTGTGAAGCCGAAGGGTAAAACCTCAGAGGCTGAGTCAGAATATGGGCAGGTTACCATAGCCCGGAGACTGATGTTGAACGTGGGAGAACTCAGCTCTGTCAGCCTCTAGTTGTAGGATCGTGGACAAACTCTCATCCCCTCTGTGCCTCAGTGTCCTCATCTGTAAAATGGGGGCAAAATACTATCTTCCCTTAAGGGATCATAGTGAGGATAAAACAAGATAACCTAACAATAAGCCTGTAGCTCCGTGCTCAGTGAGCCATCCTCCCTAAAGCCCAGGTAGCCTGGGTGCAGCTTAGAGGGGACCAGGGTCTGCTTACCCTGGCTGGGTGGGGGGCGGGGGGGGGGTGTACCTGGGAGGGTAGGATCTTTCCTCTCCAGGTGACCTGCACTGTGGAGGAGTGAGTTACCTGGCTAGGATGGCTCTCTCTCCACCAAGACCTGTCCCCAATTGAATTCTGTCTCCCGCTTGTTCCCAAACAAGATAACTTCTTTCTCTGGAGAACATTGCACATCTTAATAAATAAGATAATGAAGTAAAGGTTTCACAGACAGCCTGGTTCTCAGCAAGCACTCAATAAACGTTAACGGTTTCTGTCTACACACCTCCCACAAACCATTTTCACGCCACCCCTTAGTGCAAATATGGTTGCAGGACTGAGGCATGATTTGTACCTTTTAGATAGGAATGGCACCGAGTAACCTTATTAATCAATTTGGTTCAGCTTTTCTACAAGGAAAAGCGGTGTTCATGCCGAAGTCTTCTCCAAGCTTTCCCAAACACCTGGAATTAAACAGGCTGAAGCTCACCCCCGCCCCCCGCACCCCCAACTGACCCCAGCCAGGGTGCAGCAAAGCCCAGCAGCAGTCCTTCCTGACATCCTGATCTTCGTCACCACATTGGCTGTTGGACAACTCAGCTTTGTGGCTTTACTGAACTGCAACCGGCTTGCCTCGTGTCCTTCACCAGGAGCAAGAGCACTAGTGACCTGGGAGGAAATAGAAACCAATGCAGACAGTAGATTTGCAGCAGAAAACAGCCCCACTTACAGGTGGCCTGAACACAGGGAGGGGGTTGCCTCACGGGGTCAAACTCAATGAGCTGCGACCTTTGGGCCATGGTGCTGTGCGTCTGACACCCTGGGTCAGACTGAAAAATGACCGAAACCTCTTCCAAGCACTTTTCTGTTGACGCTTCCCTGGGATCATGCTGAGCACACAGGGATGCTCAGAGAAAAGTCCGTTTTTGCTCCGTGTCACCTTCTGGTTAAAATGTACTTTAAAAGCCATGTTCTGGGATGGCCTGCTTTGTACCTACAAAAGAGCAGGCTCTGCAAAGTCCAATGACATTAGGGGTGAGTTTACAATCTAACCTTATCAGGGACCCGGTCGCCAAGGGGCCTTTCAATAGAGATTAGAGATAACTAACTCAGCAAATAGCTGACACTGAGGAAGGAACTCAGGTAAGGAGAATCTTCCTGCTGATTCAGAAAAAGGCAGTCACAAGTTTTGAACATTCTAGAAACATCACACCTTACTATAATTTACTCTCTCTTTCTCTCTGCAGACTACAAGGAAACAGGGCTAAGACAAAGACAAAAACAGAAGAAACCAACGTGCTCTTCTGAGAAGTTATAAGGGGGTCAAGAGAGGTCCTTAATTAAACATCGGAGATCAAGGCTGGAGAAAAGCCGCAGACCAGGACCCTTGACAAATCCAATCAGATTTGCTACACAGCTAAGAAAGTTAAAAGACTCAGAGTCAATGAATTCTCCATAAGCTGAAGGAGGACCAGGCTTACACTAATAATAATAAAGGGCCCCAGCATTGGTAATGAAGATAGTGGTTTATGCCCAGGTGCTAGCATTTCTTTGGCTTTAACCCCAACTCCATATCCTATTTTAAAATCATATTTTAATTCTTTGTTCTTGGCTATTTGAATAAAAAGCCTTACTTTAATTTATTGGAAGAATACCAGCGCCACTGGTATTTGAATCACACTTCAGTCACTGCCTTCGGGGAACTAAGCAATTCAAGCCGGCTATCTGGTGGCAGTTTGGTCTACGCACAGACGAGGAACCTCAAAGGACCTAGACAATCTGTGTTCGAGAGTGTTGTGAACCCGCAGAGCTGTGGTGAATGCCATAATGCTTGACTAGTACTCATTAATAAACCCCACCCTGGAAAGGACACGATTTTAAAGCCTGAAAATACTGATGGCCAGTGTTCTAACCATGAGTGAACCGACCGTGAGGGAGAATCAGACACAGCATTTCCCCGGGGTGATGCTCCTGAGCCTTAGGCAAAAACGGGAGTAAATGGTCCAGGCAATATGGCCAGAGGGAGGCCCAGGACTTCTGGCAGATTCTATTCCTCTGGCTCCATTTGTTTAGGAAGGAACGGTAGGAATGTTTCCTAAAATCCTTACACACACAAAGCATTGTAAGTTCTGTAGCAGAGAAGTGGGGGTGTTCTGTGCAGTGACGTCAGGCTCTTTGGGGGAGCCCAAGCAAGATCCTTGGGCGCCTGAGATGCCCTGGGACAGCAACTGGGCTCAAAGAGGTAGACAGGGAGGCACTGGGGCCCCAACAAAGAGACAGAAAAGTACTCTGTGTCAGAAACATGTATTTCTCACCAAGTATCTTTGTACTCACCCCCATTCTCAGCTCCTTTATCATGAGGGGCCATGTGGCCAATAGCAGAAGTGACAGGTGTTGTTTCTTTCTTGCCTCAGTGCCACAGAGGCTGCAAGAGAGATGTCGGGGCAGGGTGTGGAGTGGAGCTCCTCCAGCAGTGTGTGACTCAGGCCGCTTGCACAGGTCACAGCCTCCTTCTCTCTGTGGGGCCCTGTCCTCAAGGAAGGACTGCCCTTGGGCTGCAGAGCAGGGACTTAGGCGGTCAGAAGACATGGCTAGTTGTTAACCAGTCCAAGCTCAGGGTCAGGAATGACAACGATTGCCTCTCCTGCACGCTGGGTTGCCGGAGGATGAGCAGAAGATGACAGATGTGAAGTGCTCCATGAACGGGAAAGTGTGATGCAAATATGAAGTCACCCAAGAGCCATTCATTTCACAAGCCCTCTCTCTGCCAAGAGCCGTGCTGGGAAAGCCCGAGATGAGAGATACAATCTGTTCTCAAGGAGTTCTGGGGGCTGAGACAGACCAACAGACAAGGGAGGCTAATAGGGTGTGCTGAGTGCTATCATAGACCGGTGTCCTGGGTGAGACGGTCATGGTCCCAGAGGAGGGACTTCTTTCTCATCCCAGAGCAGTGGAGGAGGGCTTCCTGTAGGAGGTGACCTTTCTGAAGGAAGGGCAGAATTTAGCCAGATGAGGAAAAAGGGACCTGCAGGTGCAAAGGCATGGAGGCATGAAAGCTGACACTTTGGAGTTATGGCCCCCAGCCATCGGCAGCCAAGGTCTGGGCCAGGAACATGAGGAACAGAGAACAGGGTACAGCCTAGAGGATGTGGAGAGGCAGGTGGAGGCTGCTTCCTAGTCCCATGAGGACCAGGCGCTGTCAGTACATCATCCCACTGTCAAAGACCCTCCCTTCTCTGCTGACACTGGTTAGGACCAAGAAAGCGCTGGACTTCCTCCCAGCCGTGACTTCCAAGGTGGGATCTCATGGAAACTTCCCCTCACCACCAAGTGCAAGAACACACACACACATACACACACACACACACACACCCATACATATACACACACATGTAACACTCAGACAGCAAAACATACTCAGAGACCCACATGGGGACAAAAGTTTAGGGTCATGACCTAAAGTTCCTGACACAAAAAAGGTACACACCCCACACACTCACAAACACACAAAATGCAAGGTCCTACTCAGAATTTGCAAACACAAAACGAGTGCTGTCATAGTCCCTGCACCTCAGGACAGTCCCTCCCTCCCCACTGAACCCCCTACAGGGCCCAGAGCCACCCACTGCTCCCCCAGGCAGCTCTTCCAGTTTGGACCCAGGGCTCCATCGCCCACTCCTTCGCCCGCCCCCGCAGGGAAGGTTCTGCCGGATTCTTGTTCACTCCAGAGTGAACACTAGGAGCTAGAGAAGAACAAGCAGCAATTGCGCTGTGCTTTGCAACCCCCTCAACTCCTCAGTTCTTTTTTCTGGAGAATACTTAGCAGTAAAGCCTAATTTATGAAGTCCCTAAAGATTTGAACTTTCCGCAGAATTGGCTACAGCTTCTAGTGGGTTAGAGTCACACTGGAGTGGAGCAGAAGGCAGGAGCTCAGGAGCTGTGGGGGGGAGTGGGGGGCACGGGGAGGAGCCACACACCAGGCCAGGGTCCCCAAACCATCTTCGTCCCCAGCAGGGAGCTGAGAGTCACCAAGAGCATGTTGGGGGGATGAGGAGGGGTGTGACACGGGGCACAGGATGAGTCCAGGAAGGCAGAGCCACTCCTCACTAACACCCTAGACAAATCCCAAAACTCCCCAAGCGCGTCCACCCTTCTCCCTCCCCAGATTGCAAGGTCAAACGTAGCTTTAAGACTACTGCTCAGATTTTCTCGGTTCTGGGGCCATGCCAGCCCTGGGCCCTGGGGTCGGAGATTCACATCCCTTCCCCACCAGGTACCGCCTGAGGGCAAAGCAGAGGTCTGCAGGGCAGATAGAAAGAAAAAATAAAAAGCTAATTCTCCCTGTTGAAAAACCCAAAGAGACTCCCTCCCCTCCCACCCCCCTCCCGGGTCTTAGAGCATTGACTTTAGTAAGTTCATAATTGCAAATGCTTTCCCGGTCTCTCTGAAATGTATGTAAATCTTTTCAAAAGCTAAATAAGCCTCTTGCCAGCTTTATGACCCAGGCCTGCCTTTCTCAAGGACCCTGGATCCATTTCTTTGAAATACAATCATCTGGGAAGCCAGCGCCCCATCTCCTAGTTTCTGTGGGAGGGTGGACCCTAACTTTAGCTCCAAGTTACAAAACCAGCTCTTGTCGTAAAAAGATGAGACTTTTACTTTTCTTGGAATAAAAGCAATTAGCAAACACAGATGGCCACCCCGAAAGCCAGGTGAATCTGGGATGAACTATGTGTGACAAATGGTGCTGTCATGTTTTCTCACCCGATGGGCTGTAGCTACTTATATAAAAAGGAGTTTTCTCTCTGTCTTTGCAATCTTTTCAGCAGATGGCCTGCGATGCACCTCACACTCTAGTTCATGCTGATTCAATAGGAAAACTGGTTCTCTTTCTCTTCTACCTCTGTGGGGAGGTTTGCTGGCTTGGGAGGAGATTTTTGTCCCCCTGATTTCCTAAAGAGGGTTTAGGGCAAGGCCCAGCCTGGGCAGGGAAGAGAGGCCAAAGAGGCTCTTTGAGCAGGGGAGGGGAGGAAGGAGGAGTGGAGGAAGGAGACGGACTGGGAGAAGCCAGGGGCTGGGGGCGGCCTGGGCAGCAGGTTCCAGGTCCCCCAGCCCAAAGCCTGCCCTTCTCACAAGGCTCTAGGCCCTGGGTTTGCCTGGCTCTCTTTCTCGCCCTGACTGCTAATCTTCTTTTGTTTCCCCCGGAATCACAATCCTATTGAACAGTTCTCTCCTTGGCGGAGGCTGCGGATTCTTGTGCTCTCTTTCCGAGAGTCCCCTTTGTTCCCACAGCGAACCTCATTCATCTGGACCTCATTCATGACAAACATTTTTAAAATCACTTTTCAACGCACAGACTAAAGTGCACTTTGCTTTTTCTGCGAAGGAAGATTGTGTCAAGTACATTTGTCAACGAATTTGCAGGGAAAGCGTTTAATTGACTTGAGAGTAAAGACTTTTCTGGAGCATTTAATGATGCCTTTGCACACTGGATTGTTGGATGCGGAGACTTGTCTCCTCTGCCTTTCCTGCCCGTGGCTGGCTAGGGAGCCCACAGAGGGTAGATCTCTGACCTGCTCCCTCCCGGGCCCCTTGGCTGCCTAAGGGCTTAGAGAGGTCATTTGGTTCAAGTCTCTGGATTCTAATTCTCAACACAAGGCCACACCCTTTTCTCGATCACCTTGGGAGCTTTAAAAATACATGAGTTTAGGGGGCCTGGGTGGTTCAGTCAGTTAAGTATCTGACTTCAGCTCAGGTCACGATCTCATGGTTCATGAGTTCAAGCCCTGCGTCAGGCTCTGTGCTGACCGTTCAGAGCCTGGAGCCTGTCTCTGATTCTGTGTCTCCCTTTTTCTTTGCCCCTCCCCTGCTCTCTCTCTCTCTCTCTCTCTCTCAAAAACAAACACTAAAAATTAAAAAAAAAATGTGCTTACTGCACACATCCCACCCCAGAGTTACTGCCTCCATTGATCTGTGGTGGTGCCCAGGGCAACCTTCTGTCTTAAAAGCTCCTGAGCTATTCTACGGTGAGAGGGGTGAGAGCTGAGGCAGCATGGCCCAGGTCAGGCCGCTCATTAAAGCACCTGAGAGCTTTCAAAAAATACCAATGGCTGGCACCAAGCCTAGTGATTCTGATTTTATTGGGCTTGGTTGAGACCTGGGGGCCAGGAACCATGATAGGCAGTGAGGGCAAAGCCACCCCAACAGAGAAAAGAACCCTGACTACTCAGGCAGGCTGATCAGGACTAGAATTGGGGCTCTGCTGGGCGACTTTGAGCAAGCTGATGAGCCTCTCTGAACCTCAACTTTCTCATTCTCAACATCAGAATGGCGTGACCCACCTTGCAGCTGACATCCTTGGGGCTTCCTCCACCCTCCTGGAGCAGCATGGCTTAAGTATCTCAATAACTTTCTCCCTTGCAAATTTACTATCAGTAATCAACTGTACTACCAGTAAAAATTCAGTTTTTATTAGTAAAAAGGTGCTGCTTTTTGAGATGGGGAAAGAGGATGTCAGGACCTGATGTCGTCCCTGTCTT